ACGGTCCAAATGGCTGAGAGAATGGGCATGGGCATGGGCATGAGTCCATAGATAATTGCATGATAACAGGCTAATTTTCAATTAGCGCCATTTTGATAAGCTCACATAAATTAAGTATTCTTTTCGCCTGCTTCTCGCAACAAATTGCGAATCGTCTTTTGTTTGTGGCATAAGTAGATGCGCTCTTCCGCTTCGGGCATTGTTTCCGGCTAGATGATGCCCGTAGCTGGTCAAAGAAACGTGACTAGTTTATTGATTTGATCGAAACTACGCCAAACATAAATTAATAATAATACGAGCATTGACCAAGTAACAATTTGCTATGCTCTGCAAAATGCTTTTAAGCAGCCCTCGGCTTCGGAATCGAGAAACCCAACCAACTAAAAGTCAAACACTTGAGCTGCCTTCTTGCCTGCTGCCGTTGTCCTGCTGGCTACGTGTTGGCCATTTTGACGTCGTCGTCGTCGTCGTCGACATCGTCGAGGTCCTTCGAAACCTGCTCCATATAAAATTCCAATCATACTTGACCAAAAGCAAAACACTGGAGAATACCTAACCCCTGCCCACTCCCCAAAAAAAAAGAAAGTTAAGTGAAGTGCGGCGCTTAAGCCAAAGGCATTGAACGGGTGGCTGAGTTCTCTTCGATTTTGGCTTCTGGCAGCAGTCAGCAAAATTCTGCGCTACACTTTCGCCAATAACTTGCCATTGCTTAACGGTATATTTTATTGATACACTTGCAAAAGCAGAACGAGTTGCTTTGTTAGTTTGGTTAAAGGAATGACAGACACCACTAGCTGTATGTCTATAATCTCAATAGCTTAACTTGGCTAACTCATATTAAGTCTTTCTATTCGACTACAGTGGGTGAAAGTGGGGTAGACAGAGCAGGTCTGAGGAAGATATAGTATCTCCCTCTTTCTCCCTGTAATTATCTATCTTTCTCTTAATTCTGTTATATATTTTACTCATGATTTCACACCTGATCCAATTATATGTTGGCTTTTTTTAGAGCTGCATAAGTTTAAATCAGAATAAAATTTTTTAATATATTTGTTATTTCAATAAAATGAGCTTTGTTTGATAGCAAATTGTATGACATTATATTAATTTCTACAGATATTATAATCATGATCATAATCGATTTTGAAGACATATTAACCAATAACTCCGCCATTTCATACTACACAGTAATTTTTCGTAAATGTTTCGACAACAGCTTGTCAATTATACTTACTTCAAATGCGATTATTCAGCTTATTCAGCTATAAAATATATGAATTCATAACCTTGACTTTTAGCACAATTTTTCTGATAACAAATTTAAAGAACTTATATATATAAGCTATAATATATATATATATATAAATAATTATATGTATAAGCTATAAGCTTATTCATAATGAAATGTCCTACACAACTTTCTCTTCATTCACATCCATAACAATCCCTATGAAAACTTCAAAACAATGTGATCTAGTCTTCTTTGAGCTTTGTTAGTTCAACTCTAAAGGGTATCCGAAGATCGACTTTAGTTATTGCTGCCTTTTTCTGGTTGCTTTGCTAAACTTTGGTCCAGCAACTTGACTGCCAAATGGCCCCGCGCCGCATCGTTGCATTTATTTGTGTGCTGGGGCTTATTTCCAGTGCACACAATTTTCGACAGATTTTCAAAATAGTTTCCGCTGCATAGGTAAAATGCAGCTTGGGACTTAACTGCAGCTCCATCTCCAACTGCAACTCCCACTCCAACTCCAACTTCGAGTTCGACTTTGACTTGCAATATTTGCGGTTGGCTTTGGCGGGGCAGGCGTCGGAACTCTTTTCACTTTTCAAACATTAACCTTTAAACACTTTGTGAAGGGTGCTGCTGTTGTCGTGCAGGTTGTCACAGCTTAATCGATTTGAAGAAAAGTTTCATGTCGTTTTCTACCTCTTCCATGTTACTTTTATTTTTACGCCCCATTTGCTTGGAAGCGCTTACGGTAAATTGCAAAGGAAAATCCGTTGTCGTTGTTGTATCGAGCACCTCGCCGTGCAATGATAAACTTTCGACACATTTTTCATTTATTTTCAACACCTTTGATTGATATATTGAACACTTGGCGCCCAACTTAAGCAAGAGTCTTTGGCTCAAATGGCTGCTGCTGTGCCACGCAGCTGTTTATTCGACGGAAGCTCGCCCCAGCTGGCGCCCATTGTGCTAGCATTTCCGCCGGATGCCAAGAGGTGAGGCGAGCTGAGCCCCCAGATGCCGTTCCTCAATGTCAAATGCTGGGACAAAGGTGACGACTTTGCTCAGCAATGCCACTTCAATTGCTGGCTGATAGTTCAAATTAAACTCTGAATCTTATACCTACCTAAGGAATCGGAAAAGGTGTCGCCATCAGGCGAAATCACTCTTCAAGATCTTATTGGGTGAAACAACCTGGAGACGATTCAAGCTTAAATTGTTAAAAGCTGCGAATAAACCAAACCTCTAAACAGAATATAAATCTGGTCAAAAACTTCCGTATATAACAAGCTATAAATAAGAAAATATCATTAAACTAAGGCAACTAACTATTCCTGTTCCCTGTTGCTGAAGCTGCATCTGGTCCCTGCTCCAATCCCATAACAAGTATAAAATGCTTGCCATTCAAGGCAATTGCCCAACTAGTAACAAAACACACACAACACAACAAACAACAACAGCAATTGCTACCGGTAACAGGCAAAAAGGAAATAAGACAGTCAACTAAACAAAGCCAAAAGATGTGCCAGGACATAGCCAGGGCAATGGCGCAGGCGAAGGCGAAGGCAGACCAGGACGATGTCGATGCGAAGGGGCAACTTTTCATAAACATTATTAACAATTATTGTTGTTAGCAGAAGTTGCCTGAATGGCTGGATGGTGTTGCTTGTCGCGTGCAGCCAACAAAGTCCTTTTGGGCTAACACACACACACACACACACGCAGACACAGACACAGCTGCGGAGTAGGCGAAGTTATAAGCACGGCAAAAGTTGATAAGAATGAGCCATAGACGTCGTAAGGCAGCTACTTTTAGCAGCGAGTTCTTAACACGGCAGCTTTGTGCATTTTTTATAAACTAACGCGACGCAGACGTAGATGAGTCCTCAGTTTGCTGCAAGTTTTCTAAAGCCGGTATACTTGCACTTAATATCAAATAGGGCTTATCTTTCACATAGAACATTTAGCAAACAAAGATTAGAGTCTGACTCGCGATATCACTTTGAAGGTTAATTTCTTAAGGTCACATCAATCAAATATTCATAGCAGCCTATAAATATGCATGACAAGTCTGAAGTAGGGCTGTTATGCTAGCTGGATATTCAAGTCATATTCAAGTCTAAAGAGTCTAAAGAAGCTGAAAACAACAAATATCGATTGCATAATACAAATCGAGATTTTTCAATTTGCCTCTAAATTCAACTAATATACTCTCTTCACTTCGTGAACGAGCAGTAAAAACGGCGGCGGCAGACAATGTTTTTGCTGTTATTTTTGTTGCTGGCATTTGCTTGCTGCACATACTTCAAATAGTCTTATAGAAGCTGCTGCCGACGCCATTGTAAAGTTCATGAAGTTGCGACGAAAAACGCCCACAGGTTGGCCACGTTCAACGAAGGCTTTTGTAGCCATTGCTCATACGCCACGTTGGACGCAGCAGAATGAGCAATGTATAGAGATAGATATAGATGGAGCGAAACTTGGCTAGTTTATTTTTTTTATCACTTTTTCTTGTGGCGACCGGCGAGGGCAAGTTGCAAGTATTGCGGGAAAGTTTAATTGAGAAAGTTGAGGAATTTCAATTAACTGAGGATATTTGTTATTTTTATTTCGGCAGCGCCTGTCCTGCCCCGCCGCCGCCTACGACTCCAACCCCGCCCAAGTACTTCGTGTGTTGAGTCATGTGTGCTATTGGCTGGCAAGTCTTCGTTTTGTTTTTTACGTCTAGCCCCAGCGCTTAATATGCCATTAAGTAGCTGCCGCAGTACATTAGCTGGCATCGCTTAACTCATTTAAAGTGTTTGTAATAAAAGAAGATAAGTAACCTGATATACAGGCACAAGAGCATGTACTTACTACTATGCTTATAACTTATATTTATTTAATCTATATATATAGAATATATATCAAACTATGCCAGCTTCGTCTCAGCAGAAATCAAGTGAAATTTGTCTGCCGAATGAATCGAATGAATGTTTCACCTAATGGCAACTACACGTTGCTAGAATTGTAACAAATGAATGTGTGGCGGCCCTTGCTGAGGCTTGTGGCAGCCATCATTCAATCAATCAATTGTAAATCACGCTGCACAGCTGCGCCTCTGCTCCAGGTAATGTTGACAAGTCATGTAAGTCGTGTGTTGTTTAATTATTGTGCTCGTGTCTGTTGGCTTACCAATAAAGCGTTAACCGCTAACGAGTTAAGTGCTTTTGAATGCCCGCTGAGCCTTGACCGCAGCCGCGGAGCAATAAGTCGCAGCACAGAGACAGAGACAGAGCGAGACCGAGAGAGAGAAACAGAGAGAGAGAGAGAGAAATTGCCTACAGCGCTGACATTTCCTAAATGAGTTGTTGACCAAAGTCATTACATGAATGGCTGAGGATGTGGGTTGCTGAATACTTCACTTGACCTGAATCAAAATTGACTTCCCTTTAGTTATTATATATATAGTTATTATATATACATATGCAACTGATGGCATGGCTGTGTGCACTATGGCTGCATAAAGTGATTGGTAATGGGAAAGCCCAATTAGCTTATTAAGCGTTTTAAGGCAATAAATAAAAAATATAAAAAAAATAATTGATTGATTTTGATTATGTTTTAAAAGCTGTTAACACGTCCGGCAAAGTAAACTTCAGATGTGTTTTTGATTTAAAATACGAATGGATGGTTGATATGAAGCTGTTTAGCTACATTTCTTACTAACATCGACATTTCTGAAATTAAGAAATATTAGTTACTCATTAAAAATTGTAAATAAATAAATTTAAAATGAATACAAACTTTGGGTACCGGCAGCTTCCGCTTTCTGTACGATTTCATTCACATATAAAGCTCCTTGGAAGACCGTTAAATTGCTAAAATTGGGTGATTGAAATATATCAGTGATGTCCAGATTCCTAATAACTTCGTTGAGGACCATACTAAATTCCAACTTAAACTTTGGCAGAGTGAGTTCCAAGGTTTTAAAATCAGTTGGTGTGATGTCCTTCAACTGGAAGAATCGTAATCTGCTAGTAATAATTGAAAGCTTGTCGACTGCCTTCAGTAGCAGAATAAGCATAGACATTAGTGGGCTGCTGAAAGGTAACTCTACGGCATGGGCGTCTAATTTCGGGATGAACAGGTATTTAAATCTGTCCGTGATGGACATTATGTCAACCAAATTCTCTACTCAATTTCCTTTGCTATCAACTTGCGCCGTATAGAATGGTTTCTTCGCCGTCAATGGAATATTAAATGGCGTCAGCCAAGAGCCTCTAAAGTAAATGGCACTGGCAAGTATCAATTTTGTGGTTTCGTCAGCTCTGTCTATCAGCTCAACATTTTGGGCGACATAACAACATTTGACTCTATTGTCAGCTGCAAGGCTTATCCAATTAAAATCGTGGCTACACAGTTCGCCAAGGTCCATTCGACAACACTCGATAACAGGAGCATGAACACTGGATAACTGGAGAGCTGCGTCATTGTGATAGAACTGATATTTACTTAACGTCCGTTGGTCTTGTATAGGTATTGAAATGAGAATTTATTAGTCTTGCATTATTCTGTTTTAAGCGCTTTTAGTTCCAGACTAAGCCGCACGGCTTATCAGCTAAATTCCGGGCCTATAGAGTCAATGCTTTATTTACGTCCACAAGATTGTAATTGGAAAATCGTGTGGAAGAGATTGCTAACAAGGTAGCTTTATAATGCCATTGAAGTGCCTATCAATGAAATTAAATTGAGCTAACTTTTGCACAAGTTGTGAAACTTAAATAAACAGCCCAGCTCATGAAGTCGGAAGACACCTTTACAATGAATGCCATATTAGTTGTATTCTTAAGAGGAAACACTTATGTTTTCAGGAATTCTCAATAATTATGCTTGATTTGATTCGAGTTCATTTGGAATGGATGCAAATTGGTAAATGCTTCAGTTGACATTATTAGGAATTAAGGGTAGCTTATACATAAAGGCTTACAGTGCTTTCTTTGGAGTTTAATTATGATGAGGCATTAATGCATTTGCAATGGAGAAAGAGAAATTCAGCTCTTTATTTTGCACATAATTCAATGAAATTGATGGTGTCAGAGTGAGACTTGCAAGCGAGAACTTATGGCAACCACTGTTAAGTAGTAGGCAAAAGAACTTGCCTGATTAGACGACTGTTGCATTTGTCACGTTTGCGTGCTCTGCTTTGCCTCTGTTTTGTTTGTCGAATCATTTGCGCATTGCAATATTAAATAATGCTTTAAAAAATAAAGAAAATTGTGATATTTTCCGTTCATTTTATTTATGCTCTTAACAAAACCCTTAAAAAGCTGCCCGTATGATTCGTTTGCTTTTAATCGGTTTTATTAAAATGGAACTATGTATAAGTCGGTATACTATGTGAGGTCAGAGCTAGAGCCAATCAACTGTAGATCCTGATCAAGAATATATGCGCCTTATGCCTCCTTCTGCTGCTACACTCATTTGAGCAAGCCCATTGTATTTGAAATTCCCATTTCGAATGGGTTCAGTGTACAACAATATTGTCTTGTCCTTAAAGCTTTATCTATACTAGCTAAACCAGTTGCTAACTGTCATCCACATGACTGTTTGAAGCCGCAAATCCCAGCGCAAAGTCACGCGAGGCAAGCGGAGAGCGTGTAAGAGATAGAGGCAATGTAGATACTGCTAACATGCAATCACGTTGACAGACTCTTTTAAGTAAAAAATGCGCAGGTAAAGAAGAGAAAATAATCCCAGCGCAGGCAGTGCAACTTTTAAGTAGCAAACAGACACATGCACACGTACACACACACACACATATATATATAGAGAGAGTATTACTTGATCCGTGCTACTTAAGAAAAACTAAGTGAAGCATATAAGTAGAAACTAATTTTCAAGCTGATGTAACAGCAGCGAAAAAGACGACAATAACAGTAGAATGGAAGGACAGAAAGAGAGAGAGAGACAGCAAGCAAGCAGACTGCAGCAGCCATCAGCAGCTGTCTCTTTGTCTCTTTGTCTGTCTGCTTGTCCATGTGCATGTGTGTGTGTGTAAGTGTACGCGTCTCTATTTCGTTGCTTCGCTGGAGTCTGTGTCTATGCGTGCGTGTATGTGTGTGTGTGAGTATTTGACGTCAGCTGCGCTTAATTTCAGCGCATTGCTCTTGAATGCGTAAGGGAAAGTAATAACAAAGCGCATTGCATACCTTTATATACTCTACTTCCAATGAATCCTGAGTCATTCTGCTTGAATTTTATTGATTATTATTATTTTTATTATTTTTATTATTATTAAGAAAATTTAATGATTTTTAGTCTTCAGAGCAGCATTTTAAAGTCCTCTATATTGATGCCATAAGTTGAACACATAAAAATTATGGAGCTATGTGCAGGGTATTGGCTAGTCAGTCTTCACTCTATCTGCTTGTGGTCTTAGGGTAACAAAGTCAAGAGACAAACTGGCAAAGTAAAAAACTGCCAAAGGCAACGGTTGACTGGCTGTGGTGGGCGTGGCAATGCCTTGAGTGCACCTCGCTCATGCTTTACCGAAAGTTGCCTAAAACAATTTAAAATTATCTCACGTACGTGCGAAATTGCAAACGTATTGTGGGCGTGGCTATGACGCTACAAACACCCAGCCATCTCAGCTCTCAACAATAAATGGCAGCTTATAAGTCAAGTGAAAAGCAGAACAAACAGAAACTGAAGCCAACACTGAAGGACTACGGCAATTTCGGGTCTGGATCTACTCAGGCAGCCAGAGAAAGAAAACACAAAATAAAAATAAAAATAGAAATAGAAATAGAAATAGTAACTGATTGCAAAATGTTTCATTGTGCAACAGTGGGCGTGGCACATGCGAGTGGGCGTACGCAGCTTTGCCAAGCTGCGGCGTTTTAAGTACAATTTTATAGAGCATGCCGAAAGGCTGATTGAGTGGTAGAGAGAGAAAGAGAGAGAGAGAGAGAGAGAGAGAGAGAGAGAGAGAGAGAGAGAGAGAGAGTTGGAGACTATTGATAACAGAAGGCATAGGGTAAAGTTAGATAGTGTGAAAAATATGAATAGATGCTAGCCTGAATGGTCGTAACAGATAGGAACGATCTGATGAGATTACGATTGAACGATGAAGATGAGATTACAACATCTGAAAATAGCAACTATTTTCTAATAATTACAAAAGGGATATATGAGTAGAAGTTCCCTAGTCCAATGACATTATTGAAGATTATTATTATGCAGCAAGAAAAATTATCAAGCAGTTTGTTGTGATCACTTAATGTTCTTATGATGAAATTGAGACTCTAAAGATACAGCAGCTCAGTTCATTTAATTAGCTGCTTTCATAAGCAGGGAAAGTTTTTGTTCTTGAGCTTGATATGATAGTCATTGCAAGCACTTAAATCCTTTATTAAATACTTTATCATAGCTAAAAATTGTTTCTAAGCAAGTGGGAATTTAAGTTTTGAAATAAAATTTCATAAAGCTTTATGAGTCACTCATCATCCACTTCAGTTATAAAATTCTCTAAGCTGCTCAACAGCGATAAGTTATCAAAGTCAGCCATTTCTGATCTCTTCCATAATACTTTAAAGCGAATTCAATTTTGTAAATGCTATCCAGTTATTAATAATAATAAGACATACAAATTCCAATTGCAAAGTGTTTCATTGTGCAAGAGTGGGTGTGGCACATGCGAGTGGGCGTGCGTCGCTTTGGCATGCTGCTGCGTTTTAAATACAATTTTATGGAGCATGCCGTAAGGCTGCAATTGCCAGACGAGAGATGCCAGGCTGGAAGCGCAAAAGTGGTCTCCGATGACAGGGAATGAAGTGTTGCTCGTTGTTGTGTTTACTTTTGTTAGTGTTGCAGCAATTGCTGTTTTGTGCATGTGCAGCGAGGCAAGGCAGGCTTTGAAGCCAGGCGACAGAAAGCTACTTGTGTGTGTTGAGTCTGAGAATTGCTGGCCGAAAGATGACTATATGGCAGCTAAAAGGGGGTTGTAAGTAGAGCACAAGTCAGAACTAACTAAAGAATTAAACTACAGAGCTGAAGAAACATTTGTCGCCTGGACATTCGCAGTGTTTGAGTCACGGTGAGTTGGCCTCTGGCAGTCCCCAGCTGCCTGGGTGCAGGAAATGCATTATCCACTTAAAAGTCAAGCTGAAAAGACTTTCAATTGTGAGTTGGGCTAGTTGTAGCTACTTAAGCCGTCAGATGCAAAGCAGACAGATTTTGCGCCTGGCACCCTAAAACTGGGCTAATTTTCGACACCTTTCGGGCTCATAAAAAGCGATTATCACGCACATTGAACAGCAACGGCTGGAGACACATTGCATGCGAACTGTAGATACAATATTGCCGGAACAAATCCAAACACAATAACACTTTAACTCTAATGAGCGAACTTTAAGTGGGCCAAAGTTTTACCTGGGTGTGGGCGATGCGTCGTGCTATATCGTGTGTGATTTGAGCCATAAAGATAAAGCACACGCTGAATGCAGACCCCCACAGCCCCCACAGAGTCACAAGTTTGTGGCTAAAGTTTGGAGGGGGAGGAGGAGGATGATAAGAATTCGAAGGAAGAGTGCGTGTATACGTTTGGCACTTTGGCAGTCACGTGCAGCTGCTTAGCATCTACCTCCATCCATTGTATCGCAGCAGCCCGCGTCATTTGCTCCATTAACAGTAGACGTCGCTGCGATATCAAGCGGCTTCGGATTTTGAACTCGCAATCTCAGTGATTGACATGCGGGTTGCAGGCATTCGAAGCATTCGAGCCTTTCAACCATCGGACGTGTTGGCCGCCAGACAAACACCAATAAAAGGGGTTTATTGTTTGGGCTTTAAGGGTGTTTGTATATATATATATTTCTCCCTTCAAATTATGCCTTGATGTATTAGCTAATGCAATAGTTATAGCTTCAGATTTAGTTGCAAAGGAAACTTTATATTGTTACTTCTATTTGGACTTTGCATAAAAAAAACTGAAGCGCAATTGTCATATTTCATATTATGATAGAAGAAACACTTGACTGGTCGTCTGGCAGTCTGTCTGCCTGGCTGTTCGGGTCTAGCAAAATAAATATATTTGCCTGCAGCAATATTGTATTTCAATTGAGAATTGAGCAGTGCAACGGGCAAAATCTGAGACGTAATCAAATCATATGAAAAAGCCAAATCGAAGATGAATTCCAAATCGATGTCGAGACGAGGTCGACGGTGACGCTGCCGTTGCCGTTGCCGTTGCCGTTGACGTTGACGTTGACTTTGACGACGATTTGCAGTTTGAGAAAGCTATAAAAAAGTCTTTGCATACTTTTAGGGCTGGCGGATTTGCGCAACTAATGCGCCTGTTGTTGTTTGT